TTATACTGAAATAATTGTTGCGGATTATGAGAGGCAATTGATATAAAAACTCTCTAAATAAATGCGTTTTTCTGATTTTTTTTTGCAGATACACAGTGCCATTCCAAAGAACCATTGCTCACAGCTGTGCTAAACTATAAACGCTATGCTTAACGATAGATAGTGTTTTAAGGGTTTTTCAAGCTCTGTGTTATTTATATTTAGACGACGTAACGCTATTAATCGCATCTCTCGTAATAGCTTCACACGCTAGAGTAGAGATAATCGTACGGATGAAAAATCTGGAGAACCCAGTCGCGTTTGTACATAAAGATTCATTGAAACGAGCAAGCGAATTGTGATTCAAATCGTTTAGAGATGTTACCAAAGGGAGATTGAACCAATTTTCTACGCAGAGCTCTAGAAGGGTAGAATATGACCAAAGGTGTAAAGACAAATCTGTACTGGTAGCAAACTCTCGGTGGCATTTCGCTATGTCTTGAGCAACGCCATTTAAAAGGAGAGGAAAAAAAAAGTTTATTTTGACATTTAAACTACGAGCGGGGTATCGTCGCGCGCTAAACATGGCGAGAAAAAGTGACAATGCGAAGAGCATCAACGTCGCGGTGGTCGGGCTCTCCGGCACGGAAAAGGACAAGGGGCAGGTTGGCGTCGGCAAGTCGTGTCTGTGCAATCGCTTCATGCGTTCCATGAGCGATGACTACAACGTGGAGCATATTTCGGTGTTGTCGCAGGTACTCGCATTTTCCGCGCGTCTCGTCTCGTTAGCGATTAACCGTACGTTGCACTGGAATACTCATCGAACGTTTTTTATTGCAGTCTGACTTCAGCGGACGTGTGGTGAACAATGACCACTTCTTGTACTGGGGCGAAGTATCGAAAACGGCGGAGGACGGGACGGAGTTTCAGTTTCAAGTTATAGAGCACACGGAGTTCATAGACGACGCGTCGTTTCAGCCGTTCAAAGGCGGCAAAATGGAACCGTATGCGAAAAGATGCGCCGCTACGAAGATCACGAGCGCGGAGAAGCTCATGTACATCTGTAAGAATCAGCTGGGCATAGAGAAGGAATACGAGCAGAAGGTTCTAGCTGACGGTAAATTGAACATCGACGGATTCTTATGCGTGTTCGACGTGAGCCTCGTGCCGAACAGGGCAATAGAGAAGCAGGTTGAGCTTGTGGCGAATATCCTGAACAATTTGATGAAGGCGAAGAAGCCGATAGTGCTGGTAACGACCAAGAATGACGACGCGAACGAGCAGTTTGTCAAGGAGGCCGAGAAGCTGATAATGCGCAAAGAGTACAAGGGATCGATTTTGATTATCGAGACCTCGGCGCACGAGAACATCAACGTCGATCTGGCGTTTATGATCCTGGCGCAGTTAATCGACAAGACGAAAATGCGCAGCAAAGTGGTGCCGTTCGCCGAAGCAGCCAGGGCCAGGAAGGAACTTCTGGACGCGTCGACGGAATCGTTACAGCGATTGATCCGGATACACGTGACCGATTATCGCGCCTTGTGGTCACAGGCCTCGAAGAAACTCGCGCAGCTCAAGGAATTCTCCACCTTCGTAGAGTTATTCGGTATCGAGGCGACGCAAAGACTGTTCAGAAGGCATATTAAGAAACTGAAAGACGAACAGATAGCGAAGAAAATACAGGGCTACCTGGACATGTTGCCGGATATACTTCATGAGATCTGTCCGGATATATCGAATTTAATTAACGAGTAAGTTTCACGCGAATAACAGTTTCTTTTTTTTTTTCGTGCAAATTCTCTTGCGAGTTGATTGCTGAGTTGCCGCTTTGCAGAGAATGGTCGGCGGTGCAGCAATACATAAAGGCGCATCCCGATTTCGATCAGTATTTCTACGAGTGCCCCGAAGACATACCGTGGATCGATTGTGATTTTGGAGAAAACAACGGCACGAAAATTCCATATGACGTGCTGGAGACTCCCGAGGCAGAAACCGTATTTAAGAATCATATAAATGCTTTACAGCAAGAGCAACGGCGATTAGAGTAAGTATTCCGTAGAACCAAGTCCAGCCGCTTTAACAAATAAATATTGCAGAGACGAGTTTATGTATGTTCTTCACAGAACTGGTGATAGTGGTGATAGTATTAGTAGTGAATTTATATCCATTTTATTTGATAATCTGGAAATATTCTAATAATATTCATATGCAATTTGTTAATGCTTTGCTTTATTCTGGGTGGTGTTTCTTTGTGCAGACTTCCGAAAAGGTAATTTTTGCCTTTTTTATTGGCTTTCTTGTTCATAATATAACATATATATCTGAGTTGGAAATATTCTATGATGTTTACCGTGCTAACATTTATGTAACAGCGTGGGCTTATATATTATATAGAATGTTAGATTCGAGGTATATTTGTCGCCAGCAATCAATATTTGAGCACTTAATAAGTCAATTTACCTATAATGCATGAATTACAAAGATGGCTCAAGGTCATTAAGATCGAATTAAACATTGTATTACAACATTTAAGATGCATTAATATTGCAATGAATTAATAACTTCTATCGTAAATATAACAAGTAGACTTTTGTTGTAATCAAATATTAACAATGGCTAGATACGTTACAGTTCATTTGATATTGTGCTCTTTTACATGTTCATTTTTTGAATTTTTGTTATTATTTTGAAAAATTATTTTTTACCTTTGTCAATTGTAATTAATTTCTGTTAGGTGGAAGAAACAATTTAAGCAGTTGTTGGAGGAAACTGGCTATGTTACGCCTGGAAAACATTTGTCTGAAGTTAGAGTTTTATTTATGGGCAGGGAATGCTTTGAGGAGCTTTCTCATCACGATTGTCAAGAAATTTATGATCAGCATCAAAAGGAAATTATTGAAAAGGCAAAACATAATTTTCAGGTAAGGTATTTGTAATAGCTACATTGTATCATATAAAGAGTACGTGCAATCTATATCATAATATGTTATAGGAATTATTGTTGGAACATGCTGATCTATTTTATCACTTCAAGAGTGTAGCTCCAACTGGAACTATTACACAGGATGATATAAAAGATATTACAGATGCATTACTGGATGACTTTAGGTATGCAATATATCGGATTTATTATGTATTATTATTTAATATCATTATATTGTAAAATGTAATTTTGCAAATTCTTATGCTTCTAGATACAAAGGGTTAAATAAATTAGATCAAGACAGAAAGTTAATGTTGTTTCAACATTTGGGATTTGTACATTGTCCCATAAGGGAGCATTGTCCTGCTTATCCAAATTGCATGGATGCACTTATAGAAAGAATACTCGGAACGAAAGCTCACAGGTAAGACGTCAATATTACGTCAAGTAGGATTACATAGCGTGGATTTATTTTATAACAAAAATCTGGAAACGTTCTAACAGACCTTCCTCATGGAATCACAGTAGCCAGTGGCAGTTAACATCGGACAACAATCAATTAAATTTAGTTATACTTGGAAGTAACGGGCTAAGCGAAGAATTTGCTCGTGAAATAAGGGCACAAACGGACGACGACGAAGTGGAAATAGATTGTCAACTCTACACCCTCGGATATCGCATCATTGACGGCGATGTTGGACTGCCGCATAATTCCTTCACTACCTCCGATTTCATGCCACATGGTAAATATCCTCTCGAGTGAGATTTATGTATATTTGATTATGTCTCTGTATTTGATTGATGTCTCTTGTTATAGGATCCTTTTGTATCTATTCGAATGAAGATTCATTCGAATACATTCGATCCTCTTTAGAGAAAACCTTGTTATCAAATCTAGAGCAAGAGGACAGACTACCATTTCAAGGATTGCCCATTGTAATAATGTTTATACCAGAAGCCAGTATCGATGAAATGGAGGCTATGAAGCTCAGAGAAGAAGGACAAAATCTTGCTGATAGGTATATTATATTAATCATCTTAATCATAGGAATTGAAACTTGCCGAGCGCGTAATAATCTTATCAATTTTGTAGTTTGCAATGTCCGTTTATCGATGTCTGCATAGACGATCTGGAGCAGGAGAAGCATAAGAGATTCCCGAGTTCATTGGTAAAGGATGCTTTGCAGCAACTTATACAGTCCATAAACCACAGAGCTGGTTTTTTAAACATATATCAAAGCGTTATCGAATGTTTGGAACCTGATATTAGGTAGACTGTCAATCATAATCCCTGCGTTTAATTATTTAATTTGTAATTGTATGTACTTTATTTAGTGCTTGATTTCAGGATAATAATGTGTATGTTCTGCGGCGATCCTTATTCGGTCGAGAACGTTCTCGGTCCTTTACTGAATCATCAATGCTGCTTTCTCAGCGGAGATAGATCTATAGTTTTGGAAACGTTTTTGGGAGAATGTAAGCGTCGAGTCGAAGTCATTATCTCGAGTTTTCACGGAGCCAATGCGTTCAGAGATGAATTAGTACATGGTTTTATACTCGTCTATTCCACAAAGAGGAAAGCCTCTCTCGCGACTCTAAAGTATGTGCTAATGACTTACACCACGCCGTTTGCGCATCTAAGAAAAAATAAATGTTCTATTTTACAAAATTTCTTTTTGTCTTGTAGTGCCTTTTCCACCAACATACCAAATCTGCCAATACAAATAATGGCTGTGACCGATACTGGTGGTGCAAATGCTTTCTTCAGTAACGACTTAAGTCATCTACTTATCACAGAGGGAAACGCGATTGCAGATAAATTGGAGGCGCATTTTATGACATCCGCATCCAGCTGTCAACAAAAAAGTGAGAAACTCGAGTTTTCATTTTCGATACTTGGCAAACTCTCAGTTTTCTAACAAATGATTTAATGTGTAGCCGCGTTTTACACACCTTTCTTCAAAGTGGTGTGGGAAAAGAAACCGGAGATCGAGCAGGCGTTTAACATGGAGGAGCCGGGGAATTTGAATGACAGCGGAGAAGGCACCCTGGAGTATTCGGCTTTACATCCGATGCCGCCACCACGACACGAGAGCTATCACCTTCAAACGCCGGATGACGGGTAACTATTCTAGAAGCGGCTCTCTAGCAACCGTACGAACAGATCTATGCTATGTCCGAATTTGTTTGTGACCCAAAGTCTAATGTGAAGCAGTATGTCTGTAACTTTTAGGAGCGGCTCCGAGTCGTACGAACAGTTGACGCCCGACGGTGATCTGGGTGATACCGGATTAACCGAACAATTCGCCGATCACAGAGCCACACCGAGCGACGACAGTGACATTTACAGCCAGGTCGATTTCTATCGAGAGGAGAGGGAGAGAGATCTAATGAAAAATGAAGATATCACGAATAAATTATCTGGTCAGTAATAATAAAACCAATTTCATCGCACAATGTTTAAATTCACGATTCTTCAAGACTATTGAATTATAAACCTTCTTTTTGCATAGGTTGGGTAAAGGACACATTCATGCATCAAGACGGAGTTACAAACAGTTACTCGCACAGAGCTTTCACGACAGGTCGACGATATATCTCACAGGCTAAGCCACGACCGAAAGGCAACAGTCAGACTTTAAAACAGCCTGGGAAAATCAATCTGAAGGACTTTTCCAATGTAACGGATGTGATAGCCAGGATGACGATCGGCGAGAAGGACGAGCACGGCCCGAAACTGACAATGGGTCACGCTCCTCTCGCCACTCCAGAACTTGTGGACCTCGGCACCGAGTACGCGCAGGTGAAGGACGTCGTTCCGAACATGTACTCAGCCTACGACGGCGATTATATGTACGCCTTGGTGCAAGATTCTATCGGCAACAACAAATCCAAGTTGCGCCACCGACGAGAAAAGGGACAGCCATGTAAGATCTCTTTTCTTCTTAACGTTAAAGATCTTTTGGAACGCCAAGCTTATATATAATTATTTACAATACTTATATTATTATAAACACACAGCATACAGCGATTCTGATTCGGAGTGGAGTTCCTTGGAGAGACAAAGGGCAACGGATGTTTTGAGCAAAGGGAATAAAAAGCTTTCGTCGCACAAACGAATACGCAAGAAACGCACGGCAATACCAGTCGCGACGCCAAAAGTGCCGTCATTGGCCAGCATGGGTAGCGGAGACGGTATAGTCGGCCTGAACTACAACATGAAAGACGAGAAAAATTGGCGCGTCGATCCCACGGAGAGAGGTAAAATTTTGTCCTTTTTTATCTTTCTCTTAAGTATATACATTACAAGTTTCTACGTCACCTGTAAATAGCAAAATTTAGAGAAATATATCCGTCTTTTCAGTATCTAGCGAAACGCCCGATACTTCCGAATCGAGCGATCCGGAACACACGAGATCCAGATCGAAACAATATAAATACGCCGCAACTAGTTTGCGGAAAAGATTTTCCGGAAATTCTCTGCAACAGCAATACTTACAACACCCGTTTAATATGAAACATATGACGCAGGAGATGTTCAGCGCCTCCTGTAAGTAACGCGGTAGATTTTAATTTAATAGGAATATTTATTGTTATAACTTGTAAGACGTTCTGTCATACTGATATAATTTAATAATTATGATTAGTGCAGAGAATTTTCTAATATGATTTGAATGCATTACTTAACGCAACGTAAAATCTAGTTCAGTAATGTAACAATGAATCTGCATACGCATGTATAAAAAATATTATGTTTTGGCTTAAATCGAGGCTTCTTAATTAATAGCAACTTTGATTCTCTTTTCTTTTTAAATGTAATACATACTAATGTTTTTCATTAAGTTGCAGTGTCTATGCTTTTGTTAACTTTGCATGAAACTTGTTATTTTAGCCAAGCAAAGGGGTGAAAATACGTTTGGCATTCCAGATGACGAATCAAGTTTAGATGTTTCCTCGCCGCGTGAAATTAATTCTCCTAGTGTAAGTTTTTAGTTTATATAATGCAAATCGACGTCGGCGGAATGCGCATGTTATTAACTTGCTTTGCTTGCTCCTTAGTTTGGTATATTGAATAAGTCGAAGGACAGCGACAAGTTAACCAGGAAGAAAGACAAGCAAAAGGCAAAAGAGGACGAAAAGTTGGAGAAAAGAAGGCAAAAAGAGGAGAAGCTCAAGAAGCACGCGGAGAAGGAGAAAGAGCGGGAAAAGAAGAAACAGGAGAAGATAAAACAGACCAAAGGCCCGGGAGGAACACCGATCTCGAGTCAGTCGCAGCAACCTTTGATCGAGGATTTTGCACAGAGCGAAACGAATCGGATACCTTTGTTCCTCGAAAAGTGCGTTCGATTTATCGAGGACGAGGGATTAGATTCGGAAGGAATATATAGGGTGCCCGGTAACCGTGCGCACGTGGAATTGCTTTTCCAAAAGTTCGAAGAAGGTATATTATTTGTTAAAAGCTTTCTTATCTTCTGATCTTATATTTTCTTTCTTATTTCCTTTCTTAACGCCAATCTATTGCTCCATATAAACTTTGCATGACGAATAACATGGATCTGTTCCTTTTTTCTAACGTATAGACGGTAATGTCGACATACATTCTTTGGATATTCCTGTAAATGCTGTTGCTACAGCCCTCAAAGACTTCTTTTCCAAGAGATTACCACCGCTCATCGACAAGGAACGCATGAGCGAATTGGAAGATATATCAGGTAAATTGAATTTTAATCAGAGATAGAAATTGAATCAATTTTTATAGAATTTTGATTTAAATTTTTTTGTAAGGTCCTTAAATATTTATTATATTATTAAATTTTCATTACATTTACACTAACAAAAAGCAAAATATTTTTAAAAATGTACATATTATGCCTATCAGGTGCACGAGGTATTAGCAAACCTATGTCAGCTACTTGCATGAACATGGAAGGTTAGTACTTTTGTTTTATAGAATATAGATAATGGATCATGTGTGATTATTCTTCGAGTTAACATTAAATTCCAAAACTTGAAATTGCAGACCGAAGCGGGAGATTGTTAGCCCTGCGTCTGATGCTTAACAAGTTAAATCCAGTAAACTTTGACGTTCTCAAATTTATCTTCCAGCACTTCGTAAAGTAAGTGAAAGCAATGAAAATGTAATTGCGAAGACGAATCTTTCATAGACACATTCTAATTATATCTCCCTTTATTCCATTACTATAATTTAAATTTATACGTTTTCAGAGTCGCAGAGAATTGTAAACTCAACAGTATGGATAGCAAGAACTTAGCGATTTGCTGGTGGCCTACGTTACTACCGATTGAGTTTAACGACCTCGGCAGATTCGAAGCTATGAGGCCGTACCTGGAGGACGTAGTTCAAACGATGATCGATCAGTATCCTTTCCTGTTCTGTGGCGAGGATGCCGTTGTGATGGTGTAGTGACTAAACGTATTACCTAGCCATGCAGTGCATAGTTCTCAACGTCTGTGCGAAGAGGCTGCAGTATTTTTTGTGGACAACGGTGGTAGAAGCGGCGCGTCCGGCCGAGACCTCGCAATAGCGCGCCTGCCTCGTGAAATAATCCGATATGATTTTTTTTATACGTTATCGACAGTTGCGATACAGGCGTAAACGATTGGTCTCAATATATAGTTTGTATTAATACTAAACTTCGCTTTAGTGCACTCGTAATACAACTAACACAAGTCCCACGTAGGCGCAACGTGGACGAGCAAAGTCTCTATTTAAGTTCAGTCATTCACATTCGTTCATTTCCGGGGTGTGTGACAAGCAAGATTTCCCCTTGCGAAATCGATCGATCGATGGTCCTAAGATGATGGTTATTCGCTTACGCGGATCAGATAACGCAAGAATAATAAGAGTCAATCCATGTGTCATAACAGTATGCATGTATCATGTTGGATGTATCCAGAGCGATGTATTTATTGATATTGTACTAGGGATGTATGATTCGATATTTGATAATAGCGATTAGCTTTACATGGTTATTGAGATCGATGTCGTGCTTTTTTTAATCGCTTTTTTTCGCTCCGTCTTTCCGTTTTCTTTCCTCGTGTCTTCTTGTCCATATTGCCAAGAACGAAAGTGTTAAGCGCAAAGTGATGATATTAATGTAGTCTCGTTAAAGAGACTGTTATTAGTATTTAAAGGAGGGCGTGTCCAGCCCACATTTACGAAAGATACGAAAAAACGTATATAAAACGAGATTTATCGTCGAATAATATCTATATAAATATATATATTATATATCTCACATAGCAACGATATCAAAAATCCCAGAATATTTAGCGCGTTTCCTTTTTGGCCAATGCACAAATCGCCTCTCGAGTGTATTTACTTTTGCATTCTATTGATGTAGATTAGTCGTGCAAGAATTTTTTAAATAGTTTTTATCATGTCAGGACCGAGCGAATTCAAACGACGATACAATCCGTATATTTATTCCGTCTAAAAAAATATAAAGTAAAAACGAAAAAAAGAAACACGAAAAGCGTTACATGTAATTGCACAATGTCTTGACAAATAGCGATAATATTCGTATGCGAAGGAAAACGAAGACAGAGATAAAAAAGCATTTTGACAAGTTTCGCGTATGTAACATTTGCAAACGCATGTAAAAGTGGAATCGAAGTAACTTAAGAAATACTTAGAGCTACGAACGATATTAAAGTTTCTTAAAGCGGATATGTATATAGAATTCTAACGATCTAAGATACATACGAAGCTCGTAAGACATGAGACACTAAATTCATAGGAACTTTTTCTTTTATTTTCCGAGAAGTCCGTTTTACGTAATGAGCTGACGTTTTGTCGTTCGTATCTTCGCAGAAACAGAAAGTATTTATTAACACGCTACCGTCGCGCATAAGAGATTCAGGATCGACGAGTTAAGAGAAGAAGAATTGTACCGTCTAACTTTTTACATTTAATAATCGGGAAGAAAACGTATGTTCAGACACGTCAATTTATTTTCTCGCTGTCTGCTTTCGAATTCGCACGAATCCGCGGATCTAGCGGGTTGAATTTTCGTAGGTGTGCCATAACTTAAACTCGATGTTTAACGATCATAATGACAAGATGTATGCCTTTCGGCGGCTCAACATTCGAAAGTAAGCGTGTGTCGTTTAAACACCGATCGCGAGCACTCGCGATCGCGGTGTATTTACCGAGAGATACTTAAATATTGCCTCTGAATGTTGGAGCCATTATGAATAAGAGAAAAAAAGGAAAAGAAAGCGACAACAATACACAACGCGCATACAAGTACACGCAACACTTTTGTAACCCGAAGATTAATCGCAAACATTCCCGTAAGGAACGTCGATGTTACTTTATATATATATATCTCGCGAGAGACGCGTTTTAATCGAACCGAGTCCGTGATCCTGGGAGTAAAAATCGTGAACGAAATCTCGTGATCGTTTCACGAGAGAAAGAGAAATAAAAAAAAAGGAGAGATCTCTTTTTATCGACACGGACCGTCGTGGAAAACGCGCGTCTCGCGAACACAATCGCTCTGTATTTGTAAGGAAATCGTTGTAACGATATTTCTACAATCGACGCGTCGCGAGGACGCGCGCGACGGGAGGAAGAAAGAAGGAACGGATCGTACATTCCCATTTAGTCGTAAAAAAAAGAGGAAAAAAAACAAATTTTATACATTCGTACGTACGTAATTGTATAATGTTCTTAAAATAGATAGGGAAAGACGTCGATGCTTTACGTATGGGATCTCGAACGCCGAAAGACGTCGCGCGACCCCGTCAACGACGTGACCGACTCACGTCGACGACGATGAGCGAAGTGGCGCGTGTCGGAGCAGTTGGAAACGCTCGCTTGGGTGGATATTTCAATACTCCCGTTATCTTTGTCTATTTTACATGTCTATTTTACGTGTGTCGAATAGACAATTGATTTAGAGCACTTAGAAAGCTTTTCCGCGAGTAAGATTGTTTGCACCAGCTCTTTCGTTGTTTAAAGGGTCAAATCAGTGTAACCGCCTGAAAAGTAGAAGTATTTTTTACAATTTTTTTCTAGAAAAAATTTAATGATGAATTAAATGGAAACGATAGAAGACTGAAATGTTTAAATTTTTCTGACGTCCCGTGGCATAACAGTTTTTGTACATTTACTCAGAAAGCTTTAGGACAAGTTATAAGAACATGAAAAAGAATATTTTTTAATAGAAATATATTTCCATATTTTTATATTGGTAATAAATTATGATTTGTAATTTTATTTAGTAAAATTATATTAAAAATATTCTTTTTTTTATGTTTTTTTAGCTTGTCCGAGAAATACTTTCGTATGAAAATGTACTAAAACATTTACCCAAGAACACTAAACAGAATCTGGATCGGCTATGCCGCGTAGTGCGCCTGAGAGCTTCAATACGCTTGTACAAAAGTAATCATAACTTCTTATTAATTCTTCAAATTTTGGCATAAGTCTCGCGGCAAAATAATCTTATAAAAGTCCATACTATTTCTTTAAATTAGAAAAGGATCGGTTCTTTTTGTTTTTTATACTGGTCTAACCCTTTAAAAGTTGCCCCTAAAAAATATATCTCTCAGCGTCGATTGTCTCTGCTTATCCGCGATGTTATTAGAACTTCCTTTACATCGAGATAATAATTTACGAAGAATACTGTAATTTTTACTGTAATACAGTAATTTTCCAATTGGATATTTCGTCAATATGCTGTTAGCGCAATCGTCAACAAATCTACCGTGCGTGTTTCGTGTAATACTTCTCAACAGCTTGCGATCATTATTTCTTATATAACTGTCATTTGTTCAGAAATTTAGCGCATACTAAATGATTATACTGCGACGATTGAAGAGTGCAACAGTAGCTCAACTCATCTTAAAAGGACTCTCAAAATTGAGGAAGGGAGAGAATTGAATTTAGATTAAATTTATTTCTCTCTTTATTTATTTACTCTTATCAAAATTCAAATAAAGTCAATTCCATTAAATTTATTCCCATTTTGAAGGCAAGTATACACTCGCCTTTAGATCTCTTAATCATCAAGCCATTGGGTGTTTTTAATAAATTGAAAATGAGCTGGGCTTTTGCTGCATCGAATCTTCCGGTTATAGTCTCGCCCTACGCATCTACGATGTAACGGTTAAGCAATAGCAAAGAAACGAATGTAGTGATTATTATATCTGAAGAAATATTCGACGACGGCCACATGTATAGTGATCGCAAGATTACCAAGTTCCACGTCCTTCGCACAGTATTAGCGTCATCAGTCATCGGCATCAACATCGTTTTCAACAGCATCATCATCATCATCAGCAACATTATCAACGTCGTCAGCATCAACATTATTGCCATCAACATCAACGTCATCATTGTCATCGTCGTCGTTATCATCCCTGGACACGTACCCATCGAGTGTCTTCTCTCTCGCGAAGCCTAAGAGGGAGAAGAAAGAAAAATCACTTTTCTACGATACGTCCGTTAAGATTTCCGCTTGTCCTTTCTCGCTGTCCGAGGACGGCCCATGCGCGACCGGCCTCTCCCGTCGAACATAAACAGATCCTTAAATTATCGTAGCCTGTGATAAGACGTAGGCGAAAATGGACCCCTTGTTTGTCCCCTTTATTTATAGCATCGGCTTGATGTACGAATGTATTATAGTTGTACAGTTGCATCGGTATGATGCGTGTCGTAAGCCCGCTTATGCCCTGCTTTCCTTGCGTTTTTGCATCGCGCTCTGCTTCCCTCCCCTATTTTTCTTCTTTTCTCTTCCTTTTCTTTTCCGTGTCTTTTTCTTCCTTTGTCGCTCGTCACCGTTCTTCGTAAGCTTCGCCCGTCCTCGAAAGTCTCGTTTGTTGCCCGTAGTCGCGAAATACTATGCGAGCGCACCCCTAAATTCTACGGACGGTGAATCGTGAAGAAATGTAGGAAAACGCCTCTCAATTGTGCCGGGGGATCGTCGATTCATTGCAGCACAGCGACCGAACTTTCGTTTGACTGATAAAATAAAGACGTGGGATCTCAATGTTTCTCGTGCAAGATCCGCGTTCGCGGATCGAAGTATTCACGTGCCGATTTCTTTCAGCACCCTATACATGATCTAGCGATATATTTTATACCTTGACCGTTCCGCATGACGAAATAAAACGCTGAACCTATTTATAGCATTTATATTTTTGTATTTCCTTTACACGAAATAATATATCGTTTTATATTTGAATTATATTTTAATCGAGTTTTATAGAGAAAAACCCCCTTTTTCCGGCCTCGTCTCTCCCCGCGCGACCTACGTTTCTTCATGGGAATGCAAGCCGAGCTTGGCGTGGTGTGTGAGTTACTTGAAGCGTGAATTGAGAATAATGCTTGAAATTTGATAACGATATAATAGCGATAGCCTGTTAACCGCGAGCCCGATAATGAGACTCGTCGATGAGAGGAAAAGTTGATAAGTAAAAAAAATAAGTCAATCCCTTTTCTAATCAAGTAGGAGCGAACGATCGGATCTACGGTTTTATAAGAATCTTTGATAAATATGTGGATTGAGGATATAGCTGATAATTAAATAATAATAGTAATGATATTTAATAGCCGTTTGTATCGAAGGTGGCTAACGATTTATTGACCAAGATAGGACTGCTAATTTCTACTTCGCTGAAATTCCCTCAAAAGCCGCAGTTTCGCGCACTGGGGGATTCTGGCACTTCTTGGGATCTGTCCTTTTTATCCGTGTTTCTTTTTCTCTCCCCCTTTCCGCCTTCGCTTTTTCCTTCCATTCCCACCCTTTTGTCTTTTTGATATTTTAATAAAGTAACATGTATTTATTTTATTTCTTCCCGCGTGCGCGCAGTTGAAAAAAGGACAGATCTCTCCGGTTTCTCGTGGCTCGACGTAAACGGACGCACGAAGAAATGCGTGTGCGTAGCGATGGGGAGGAAGGGAAGTGCCCTCGCAGTGCTGCTCGCAAAGTATCAAAGCCGAAACTTGGCGTGTCCAAAAACGTCTCGCCGACGACGCTGAAAAATTTAGCCGATCCCTCCGGATTCGGGAAACTTAACGTGATAGAGCCCTCCCCTGCCCCAATTCCCATCCGCCCGCCCATCAATCCTCGCTCTTTATCCCGTTATACGAATGCGTTTCCACCTTTCCTAAAATTACGCGTTTATAAATGTCGTCATTTATATACATGTAACGATTTTTGTAAATAATCGGTATACATATATAAATATAATTATATATATATAAATATAAATAAATATATTATATATATAAATTATATATATATGAAACACGCAACGTGTAAATGGACGGAACCTGTCTTCGTTGTATCAATAGTCTTATATCAGACTTGTATATGAACGGAGGGACTTTTGATTATTAAAAGTTTCCTAGAGTAAAAAGAAGAGACCAGTTTTTTTTTCTCTCTCTCTCTCTCTGTAGCGCACCGCTACGGCATTAAATAATTAATAAGTATGTGCATGTCGAGGATTCTAAACATTATTTATTACTTTTTATTCACCCTATCTATTCTTCAGCGGTTTTGACAATGTCGTCATGATAATTATCACAATTTGATAATTTATCGCAAAAAACTTCTCGGCCATCCGAGAAGAACGAAAGCTGAAAAACCTTAGCAAATTTTTAAAAAAAACTTTTTTAAGCGCCAGAAGAATTCTAACATGTAAGCGCGAAAATCGTTACATTAAAGACTTCGTGATAATTGGGCGTGTAATAGTTGACGATGCCATGATTACATATTATATAAATTAAGAGGTTTATTTGAAAAAAGTTGGAAATATTCAGTGAATTGATTAGAGACTATTACTACGTTTACGCGAGCGTTACTTTGTAGTAATTACTTACGATAATTTCTTCGCGTAAACGGGATAACTTACGATAATTTACTCCGCGTAAACGAGTGTATTATCGTAAGTTACTACAGAAGTAACGCTCGCGTAAACGTATTATAGTATATTAGAGGAATTTCATTGTTCTCGCGAGTACCGTGAAGTTATCTCCGATCGCCTTGAAGTCTTTTGTAATTGTACACATCTATTAGGTATACGAGGTGTGCCAAAAACACGCGCGTGTGTGTCGAGCAGCGAAATTTCTTTTTTTTTATTTACGCCTCGATCTCTCTACTCAAGATCGAAACCAGATTTCAATTTGCGAAAACACGGATATAAAGGTCATCAATCTTTCGATTTATCAAACTCTCGCGGGATAAAAAAACGAAATTCCTCGTTATCGGAGGCGGCAGATTTTTTCCGGACGCCGAGTATACTCGCGCGCGCGCGCGCGCAGGCGGCGGGCGGCGCGCCAGCCAATCGGCGCGCGACAGCACCTCGCGGTCCGCATAGCGTACCCCGCCGGCAACGGCACTTCGTGGAAGAGCCACGTCTACGACGACTGACGGACGGACGGATATAGACGGACGTTCCTTCCGACCTGCCAGTGATCACACACAGCCCACTGCCGTGAGGATGTTGCGAAAGTGCCTGATTGTCCTGCCGCTGCTGGTGCTCGGCGCCCTCGCCGACGAGAAGGATGTCCTGGAGCTCACCGACGAGACCTTCGAGAGCGAGCTCGAGCGTCACGAGAACACGCTCGTCATGTTTTACGCACCATGGTGAGAGAAAGAGTGATACCGTCCTCGTCCGGCTCCGCATCGCTTCTGCGTCACGCTTTTCTCACGCATTTCGCACAACAGCCGCTCGGAACTCGCCTCGGAACAAAACGAGATTATCCGCGAGGAAGGTTAGGCAATGAGAAAAATTGCGGAGATCTCGTTGTCAGGTTAAAGGGAAACGGAGCACTCCGTTACGCACCACCGGACGTTCGAGAAGTTTTTTTTTTTTATCTCTGTAGCATTGCTAATCCGTGTTGTAATACGTGTGATTAATACGTGTTTTAATGTAGAATCTTCGTTGACGGTAAGACTCGTATCTTCCATCTGCTAGGATCAAAAGATGCTCTTCTTTTTATGTCTAACTTGAGCGTCAAACACCGGCATACGGCATTACTCAATCGGACTTTCGATGACGTATCCAGATTTCTAATGGCTCCATTTCAAAATCTGATGAACAATTATCTTTAGGTGGTGTCTCACGATAAGGAGATTTTAAGCGGCTGATTCATTTTAGCTGTACGAAATGCGCATTTTTCAAGTTTATTTTTATCTATTTTTTTCATCTCCATTCTCTCCCCTTTCTAATGATTACACTTATTTTATGCAAAAGTGTATAAAAATTAAAAAGTCTTATTTGCTTTATCAAAATCAACGTTTTGAATGTAGAGATTATTAAAAAAAACAGCAAAAAGAGAGTTCTAA